TTTAAAAACTCATTGGGATTTGTTTAGGAAAAAAAACTGTGGTCCTTTAGAGAGTAGTATGCTAGTTTAAAGCGGAGGCTGGTCGTAGAGGTCACGGGGATCAGCACCGAAGTGTGGGAAATGGGCCCAGATACTCTCTTGCTGATTGCGGAGTCCGCCGACAAGGTTGCGAAAACAGAAATATCCGCCACGATCGTCGACAGTCCACTGCGGGTCGAACCAATGTTGAACGTTTGGGCACCGCGTAGAATATAACCGCAGAGCTCGTCAGACGTGATTGCTGATGTGCTCGTCGCGGTTCGCATATAGTTAAGTAGGGAAGACCGCGAAGACTTCCATCTGAGAATGCTGATGAGAGCATAAACGATGGGTTGTGCATGTAGAAGTAGTATGGTAGTATATACTACGTTCCTGAATGAATGGTCTTCATACAAAAGAGGCGTTGCACCGACTACGGTGTCATGTTGATTCGAAAAAAAACCTACTTGGGCCTTTTCCGATGGATTACATCCAAAAAGTTTTGAGGCACATTGGGCTAGTTGATAACGTAGTCAATCTTCGGCTGTAGGTAAGCGTCCTTGGTGCGTTTAACTGACTGGAAAACCTGATGTAGGGCGGACTTCCAGTCCTTTCTGGTAAGTCCTCAATCTTCAAAATAAGTAAAGTAGTTGTCCACACTTTGGTTCAACTGCTCGATATGTCCGTTCTCCTGAAGATTACCCGGTTTTGTCCCCATTTTATAATGGTATGGTATGTGTATGTAAGGACCTCTATTGAATACATATAAAAAATATGTCACAAACACTTTATGACCTTTTTCAGTGTGAACCGGCCAAACAGGTGAAAATAGAACATATAGATGTTTGTTAATGATCGTTAGCAATAAACGATCGCGGTTCACTGACTGAGGTGCAAATTTAAACTCAGCTAACAGACGTTTGAATGGCTGGGTAGCGTCGGCGTGTTATCTGCGTGTTCGAGAGAAAAGCCAAAATTTATTTCCACATCAGCTGAGGCATCTGGTATTAACATTACGAATTATTCCACCTTAAAAAAACAGAA